TTGAAAAATGATATTTATTTAATAGAAGTAATCATCAAAAGACTTGTATCAAATATAGGAAGTTATATAGATTAAAAAAAAAACCTTTAACTTCTTCAAAGCTCAGTTTGTTTCACTAAGTAATCAAAAACCCAGTAAATACAATATAAAGTATGTAATCTTATCTTTCCTAGGCAAGTTACCAAAAGATAAAGAAAAACTTTCTGCAATATGATTATATATTTCCTGCAGTATGGTTAATACTTAAGAAAACCTTGTTGTGGGACCAGCGGATGGCGTAATGGTTACATCACTGGACTCCCACATAGTCAACCATAGTTCTAGTCTCAGACCTGGCAGCTTACACGGGGCACATGTGTGTGTGTATACTGAAGATCCTGAGAGGAGAATGGAGGAGTAGGGATTGTGGCATGGCTATCCCCTCCCCGGAGGGGGGGGGCAGAAGGTTATTTCTCTCTTGCTGTTTCACTGTCTGTCTCTGGTGAGTGCATGTGCCCAAATGCAACAGAGAATTTATTTCTGGAAGATGTTAAGAAAACAGGTAAAAGGGACAAAATTATTTACAAACACATGTAACTAAAGAAAGAAGAAACCAAAAATGAATTCACCACAAAAGACATGAGTTGGTCACAGTCAGGGGGAAAAATCCAGATTTAAAATAGAACCAGCTGGTAATTTACAAAAGTTTGGCTGGAAATGAAACCAAAAGCCGGGGGTGGGGGGGAAACCACCTTAAATCCTCAAGATGACAGCTATGGCCTTGGAGGTTTTCCAGAACTCCAACTGGAAAATTCCAAAGTCAATTTTTATTTAAAGTTTCAACATATGAGATTTAATCCTAAATTATACAATTTATAAATGGATACATTTTAGCAACTTATAGTCCAAATTTCTTGAGAAATTAACATTTCTAATGATAGGTTATAAGTGTTTTGTAACTTTGGTCCAGTCTGCAGATTTGGGGAAATATTCCTTTTACTGTAAGAAAACTGGGGCTAGGGACCAGCAGATGGTGTAATAGTTACATCACTGGACTCCCACGTAGTTGACTGCAGTTTGAGTCCCAGACCTGGCTGCTTCAAACTCATGTGGGGAGACCAGCAGTAGGCATGGTGGTTAAGGTGCTGGACACTCCCACATGGCCAACCGTGGTAGAGTCCCGGACCTGGTCTCTTGCTTTCTCACTTTCCCTCTCTTTCTCTTTGTATGTCTCTCTCTGGTCAAATTTAAGTAAATGAATGTATAAATAAAATTTAACAAATAATTATTTAAAAATTAAAAAAAAAAAAACTCACTCTGGGTGTATGTGGGTTCCTGCACAAGATCCCAAGAGGAGAATGGAGGAGAAGGGATTGCAGCATGGTCATCCCCCAAGGGGATGATTTCTAGTTTTCTATCTCTATCTCTTCAGGCAGCACACGCGCCCTATAACAAAAATCTCTCTCTAAAAATGAAAAGAAATCTGGGGTTATAGCTAATGTGATCCCCACTCCTCAGTGGGCTGCTCCAAGGCTGCACAGACCTCCTGCCACACAGGGTTTATTTTCAGCAAAGGAAAGACACAAGCAACCACCATAGTTGTCAGAAAAACAGCAGCGGGGGAACTATGATGGAAACATGTTGAAAATCATAAAAACCCCCTACTCATGGTACATTTGATGATAAACTACCCACTGCAGGAAATAAGATTCTGTGAAGTGTGACCTTCCCCACCCCACCCCACCCCAAAAAGTAGAGATCATTCCCAGTTGTACTGCTAGTATTCGAAAATTGTTTGTACTACCTACTCATTGGCTAGAAATTGAGTTTGGCAGTTACAATCCGGGGTGCCAAACATCATATAGAATATTAAATAGGAAAATGCAAGTTGTGAATTTTATAACAGAAGAAAGAAAAAGAGGCAGGGGGCAGGGGCGGGAGAGAAGAATGGAGGGAGGTAGACAGGGAGGAAGAGAAAAAGAAAACCAGCCAGGGTCATAAGACCCACCTTATGTTTTGTATGGGTGATATAGATAAACCAGTCAAATACTGCAAAAAGAAGAGGAATTGAGAAAAGAGTACCCCAAAATGGTAAATACACAACCAGTCACCACAATCAGCCAAATTCATTGTTATTACTACAGTTGTGACTACAATCTTCTCTTTAAGTTTATTTATTTCTTCTATGAGTGAGCAAGCGAGAGAGACAACAATCGAAGTTAAATTAAACTTCCAGTCAATTTTAGATCAAATTTAGATCAAAAGTCAGATTTTGGATCAAAGAGACTTAATTTAGAATTTTGATTTTAGACATGCCTGTTAAAGATGTTAGAAAACTTTCCTCTGTATTGGGGTTCCTTTCTGTCTTCTTTTTATGTTTCTGTTATACCCTTCAAGACATCAAGCAAGGTTCCAAGGACAGAATGGGTCCTCACCACATTCTGACTGAAGTGAATTCATTACAAAACGAAGTAATTTCTTAAATGTATCTTTGATCATATTATGGATGTTTAACAAAATCAGCTGTTATAAATGTATTCGTGTTGTACACGCTAATGCTACATGAGTGTTATCCGTAGTATATGTATTCTTTCCTCCGTTAGGATAGATGGCACAGAACCCTTGTACTGCTAAAAGATTCTGCTAATTGTAATTTCAGTGGGCAGGCCCTAGAGAGTCTCCCGCCTCTCACCTCAAACTGTTGGATATTGAGAATGAAGTCCATTTACAGGAGGATTTCCAAAAACAGTTCATCAAGTAGAAAGAAAAAGCTAGAAGATAAGTATAACATTGTCAAGAACAATGTTTAAATTATAGGCAGGAATGTTGAAAAAGGACATAGTCACAATAAGTGAAGTACTTAAATGTATCTGAATATAGAAAAACAAGTGCTCTTGGGACCAGCAGTTGGCATAATGGCTATGTCGCTGGACTCCTATGTGGTCGACCATGGTTTGAGTCCCAGGCCCGGTGGCTTAAACTCATGGCAGGATGCGTATGCATGTGTATCCAAGATCTCAAGAAGAAAATGAAGGACAAGGAATTGCGGTGTGGCCACCCCTGGGTGATTTCTCGCTTTCTCTCTCTCTGTCTCTCTCTGTCTTTCTGGCGAGTGCACGCGCCCTATAGCAAAAACCTCTCAAAAAAAAAAAACAAAAAAACAAACAAAAAAAAAACTTTTTATGTTTCTGTTATACCCTTCAAGACATCAAGCAAGGTTCCAAGGACAGAATGGGTCCTCACCACATTCTGACTGAAGTGAATTCATTACAAAACGAAGTAATTTCTTAAATGTATCTTTGATCATATTATGGATGTTTAACAAAATCAGCTGTTATAAATGTATTCGTGTTGTACACGCTAATGCTACATGAGTGTTATCCGTAGTATATGTATTCTTTCCTCCGTTAGGATAGATGGCACAGAACCCTTGTACTGCTAAAAGATTCTGCTAATTGTAATTTCAGTGGGCAGGCCCTAGAGAGTCTCCCGCCTCTCACCTCAAACTGTTGGATATTGAGAATGAAGTCCATTTACAGGAGGATTTCCAAAAACAGTTCATCAAGTAGAAAGAAAAAGCTAGAAGATAAGTATAACATTGTCAAGAACAATGTTTAAATTATAGGCAGGAATGTTGAAAAAGGACATAGTCACAATAAGTGAAGTACTTAAATGTATCTGAATATAGAAAAACAAGTGCTCTTGGGACCAGCAGTTGGCATAATGGCTATGTCGCTGGACTCCTATGTGGTCGACCATGGTTTGAGTCCCAGGCCCGGTGGCTTAAACTCATGGCAGGATGCGTATGCATGTGTATCCAAGATCTCAAGAAGAAAATGAAGGACAAGGAATTGCGGTGTGGCCACCCCTGGGGGGTGATTTCTCGCTTTCTCTCTCTCTGTCTCTCTCTGTCTTTCTGGCGAGTGCACGCGCCCTATAGCAAAAACCTCTCAAAAAAAAAAAAAAAAAAACAAGTGCTCTCTTAAATAGATAAAGAATGGAAAGAGAACTAAAAAAGGAAGAGAAAAATCAGAGATTTGCTAGACTACAAAGTATCTTGAGGGAATTCAAGACAAGATTATAAACTGGCCCAGACCATTTTCTACTTTTTTTTCATCAAGTGTCTGGAGCAGGTTTTAAAAATTGCAGTAATAACTTCTAACAAAGAAATAGAGATGAAAATTTACATCAAAAGATAATCAAATAGAAGAATGCCTATCTGAAAATTCATCTCAAAGAGTCATTATATGAAGAATAATGATAGTAGGGTAGAATTTCTGGGCACATTTGAAAAGAGTTCCTGAGCATCACAAACTAAAGTTGCATTTTGCTCCAGTAACAATAGCATGATGATCACTCTCTTAAGAGTGGCTTTTGTGTCATAGAAGACCCCAGAGAAGTCAAATGACAACTTGGAAGTCTCCAGTAAAATCCGTTTATAGGACAGGCCTCGTAGTGCAATGGTTAAGCGTTGCACTAGGGAAGCTGGATCCCACGTGACTGACCCAAGGCTGGCCCTGGCAGCTTGCAAAACACACCAGGCATACATACCATGCCCAGGATCCAGAAGGGATGGAGAATTAGAGAGAAAAATTTATGGTGTGATGGTCCCATTGAAGGGCACTTTCTCTCCCTTTCTCTCTCTGAGCACTCACACACCCTCTGGCATTATTTTTTCCTATAGAGCACGTGTGCTTGCCAAACAGAGACTGGACAGAGAGGGAGAAAGTGAGAAGTCATTGGCCAGAGGTGAAGGCCATGCTGCAATCCCTTCTCCATTCTTCTCTCAGGATCTTGGGCTCTTGTACCACCATGCCTGGCGTGTTCTTCAAGCCACTGGTTCAGGACTCAAACCATTCAGAGAGCCATGTAGGATCCGGCTCCTCAGCCACCATGCCACCTGCTGGTCCCCTCTGACATTTTTTAAAAATACATTCAGTATACTGAAAATAGAATTTTGATTTGTTCTTCCAGAGTTCCCCATAAATTGAGAAGAGAATTCAATGAGACTGGTCAACTATTTCAATACCTCTTTAATAATCCTCTGAATTTAAACAATAGTATGACTAATCCTGTGGATGCACTATATGTAATGGTTCTTTATTTTCTCCACCATCATTAAGGCAGGGGCAGAAGTAGGGATAAAGTTTCTCCATGAAAGTGCTGCTGAAGGTGTAAATGTGGGTCATGGTTTTCGCGTTGTAGAAGGATACCTGCCCTCCTTCATAATCCAGGTATATGCCCACCTTGTCGAGGTTGTTACTCAGCTTCAGACTGCAAGAAGGCAAATCCAGAGCTTTCAAATCAGTTTGATTCCTTAGTCTTAAAAGCCAGAATCCTTGCTCAGGAGTTAGAGGACAGCTGCCCTTCCTAATGATGGATTCCCTGACGACTCCCAGTGTCCACTTGGTCTTCTTTGTTACTTCTACTTCCCAGTACCATTTTCCAGATGTGAAACCGTCTAAACTCAGCACAGCCACACTAGAATCAAACCTCTCTGGATCATCGGGCATTAACTGCTTAATGTCACCATGCCACACACTGGTTCGGTTTTTGGAGAGCACCAGATTTGGGTGAGCTGTTTTAGGGTCCAGAGTTAATGGAGATAGGCCTAGTAAAAACAAAGCAAACAAAAACAAGAGAAAGCAGGACATGAAAAAACTGAGGGCTGAATGCAAGTTCCCACAGTAAAAGACAGTATTTATGTAGACACCAATGCTTTATCTCCTGTACACACAGGTTTTTAGACAGGCGTTCAATTACTTTGAGATCTGGAGTAGTTTATGCCACTGCTGCTCACAATGTGGTCTGCAAACTACATAGTTACCAGTCTGGGACAGAGGATAGTACAGAAATTGAGAGTAAGTTTTTAGAAACTTTCATAGCAATGTGACAGTGGCTCTACATTAGTTGCATCTAATAATTATAACTTGGGACTTGCACTTTGTAATTTCTGTTTTTTATTTTTCTAGTTTGCTATAGAGTGCATGCACTCATTAGAGAGAAACAGAGAGGGAAAATGAAAAGTCACCTTCTCAAGGGAGATGGCCATGCCACAATCCCTTCTACTCTATTCTCCTCTTAGGATTTTGGACAACACGTTCATGAATCTGGCATGATTTTTAAGCCTTCAGATCTGGGACTCAAACCATGCAGCTAGCCAGCTGCCTCAATCTCCACACTCACTGCTGGCCCACTTGTTTTTATTTTTGTTTTTGTTTTTTTTAAGAGAGATTTTTGCTATCAGGCTCGTGCGCTCACCAGAGAGACAGAGAGAGACAGAGAGATAGAAAGCAAAAAATCACTCCCCAGGTTAGATGGGATGCCGCAATCCCTTCTCCTCCATTCTCCTCTTAGGATCTTGGGCATACATGGACATATTCCCGGCTTTGAGTTTAAGTTGCCAGGTCCGGTACTCAGACTGCAGTTGACTATGTGAGAGTCCAGCGAAGTAACCATTATGCCATCTGCTGGACCCTTGTTTTTGTTTTGTTTTGTTTTTTAATTTCACTTTTTCATGTAATTAATTTATATTCTAGTATTCTTCAAAAGTATCAGTCCATGACAAACTGAGATGTAAAAAGCTGGCCCTTCATTACAGATAGTTTGACAAGCATTGATTTAAACAAATCAAAGGGCAACACTATAAGAAAGAATTTCTAAATGAAAAGATGTTAGAAGCAGACCAGTAAGAAAATGACAGAAAATCTACATGTGAGATAATTATACCTGGGTATGAAATTTGATAAGGGAAACTGTGATAGTAGCTATTTGTGTTTACATCGTGGACACAGGTATATTTGTTGTTACTGGATTTATTTATTTTTTTCCTTTTTGATTGCCAGAGGGTCCATGTGCTTGCCAGAGAGGGAGAGAAGAAGGGAGAGAAAGCACGCCCTAGTGGGATGTGGTCAATCTCTCCTTCATTTCTCCATCCCCTCAGGATTTGAGACATTCACACACATGCACCTGGCATATTTTTCAAGCTGCTGAGGCCAGGATTTAAACCACAGATGGCCTTGTGGGATCCAGCTACCTACACACAGTGCTTGTTCACACACATGCACGTGGCATATTTTTCAAGCTGCTGAGCCCAGGATTTAAACCACAGATGGCTTTGTGGGATCCAGCTACCTACACACAGTGCTTAACCACTAAGCCATGGGACCAGCCCAGCTTTTTGGATTTGTCTATCTTTCAAAGTGAGATCGGTCCAGTCCAACTCTTCCAAAAACACTACTTACTTGGACTTAGTGTAATAACTTTTTACTCTTCTATTTCCACTCCGGCCCATAACATGACTAATATCATGTAATACTTCTATTCAGCATACGCTTATCACACCCGATTAAATCCAGAGTCCTTACGGAGCAAACAAGACCCACATGATTTTTTCACCTCTCTGTTGAGTTGTGGGAAGAATCATGACATATTTTTTTCTGATTTTGTATGTAAAAATACATCATGACTCATTCCTACTCTGGAGATTTTATACTTTTTTTCCTTATCCCAGAACACTCTTTTCCCATAGATTCACTCCATATTGGGCTTATGTTTCAAGAAGGCCCACATGAACTGAAAGCCACCTTTTGCCTGCCAATACTTGGTGTAAAGAAGAATCCCTCATCCCCACTATATACAACTTCGAGTGTTATCACTAAAGGTACTGTCGTTGAGATGAACGTGAGCGAGTTGGGCCTTGTGACACAAGGAGGCAAGGTTATTTGGGGGAAATAATGCCTAAGTTACCAACAGTCCTGAAAATGATGGATGCATAAATGCTGTCTTACTGGTTTGATAGCAGTTGCATACAAGTAACTCCTTGTGATTTTCGAAGATGATACACCAGTCTGGAAAACCATCATGACTGATGTTTCTGAATATAGCTGGTCTTACATGTTGTCTGTAAGTCATCAAAAGATTATTTATTAAATTGTACAAAAACATTAAAGTGGCCTGGTTTTACAAAAAAAGAAAAAAGAGGAAATAAAAAAAAGAAACAATGCAAGCAAGGAAAGAATGGGAAAACATATTTAAAGTGTTAAGTGTAAAACAATTTTAACCAAAAATACTATATCCACCAAGATTATCCTTCATATAGGAAGGAAAGGTTAAAAAAAAAAATTCTCAGATAAACAAAAACCGAAAGAATTTACCTACTTCTCTTTGAGAAGTTCTGAAGGAAGTACTATACCAGGAAAACTACAGATAGACACATAAGAGAACAAAACATGACCAAGAAAAAGCCAACTTAATGGTAGGGGCATGTTCTGAAATATCAATAATAATGTTGAATGTTAACAGAAAGGTCAGACCACAGTGACACTGTAAACTCAACAGAGATTACATGAGACTGAACTAGTGAAATAGAATTCTATGACTTTTTTCTAAAACATTACTAATTTTCTTCCATGCTTTGTCTTCCAGATTTAAGGATTTTTGTTTTCTTTTGAGTTGTTGGGTTCAGCAATTTGTTTAAAAAAATTATTATTTTACTTGAAACATAAAGTTTTGAGTTGTTGATAGGTTCAGGAATTTGTTTAATTGAATAATTGAATTTTTTAAATTGAAACATAAACTTTTCTCCCTTCCTGACCCCTGTGCAACTGGTAAATATTTGTGAGCTTTCTTATTTTGTGGCAGAATGGTTATTTGCATAAGTTCCATAATACAATAGTATCTGTTGCCTTGCATCAGAAATTGAATTCTTCCAGAGTTTCATGCAAATAATGGACAAACTGAGAATAACCTTAGTAAAGGGGAATGGAGAGAGAAAAAAAGTTTCTGAAGAAAATTACAGTGTACCTGTCACTAGAGTCAAGCTTTGTCCATACTTTTAGTTTAAGATCTTTAGTGAATCAATAAAATGCGAGAAAAAAAAAAGTTTAGTATGGAAGGGAGGGAGGGGAAAGGGGAAGGTAAAAAATGGTAGTTTGCTTAATTGACAAAAAATGAGAAGCTATTTGCTAATGATAATGTATATAGTAATATCTTTGTCTTGACTGACATAGTATTTGTGTTGGAAAAAGAAGTGTATACTGTAAAGACATGTGATTAAATGTAAATAATTTTTTAAAATTGCAAATAAGCAGGGCCAGCAGGTGGTATGGTGGGTAAGGGTGCTGGATTCCCACATGACTGACCCCAGTTTGAGTCCTTTGCTTTCTCACTCCCCCTCTGTCCCACCCCCTCACTATGTCTCTCTCTGGTCAAATTTAAATAAATAAATAAAGTTAAATAAAATAATTCTTTTAAACAATTCAAATAAACTAAAAGGTGATGGGAAAAGACCAATCTAAAGAAAAGCAGAGTAACGATATTAATATTACACTACAGAAAAAGGAATAGCAACTGGCACAAAGGTGGGCATTTCATAATTATAATGGAATTGAGTTATCAAAAAGCCATAATAGGCCCACCCTCCATGGTGCAGGAAACTACATGGCTAACCTGATATGTAGTCCTGGAAGCTACATAGCTAACCTTGGGTTCAGATCCCCAGCTGACCTGAAATATTCTGGATGCATATGTACAAGATCCTGACTAGCTGTAAGGCTGGGGGAAGGAGATCACTGTGATGAGACCTTGGGAGTACTTTTCTCAAGATACGGAGAGAAAAGTTTAAAAAACAAAAATAAAATGGGACCAGCAGGTGGCATGGTAGTTAAGGTGCTGGAAACTCCCACATGGTTGACCATGGTTCAAGTCCTGGACCTGGTGGCTTGCTTTCTCACTTCCTCTGTCTCTCTCTTTCTCTCTCTCTCTCTCTCTTTCTCTCTCTCTCTGTGTGTGTGTGTGTGTGTGTGTGTGTGTGTTTGTCTCCCTCTGTCAAATTAAAAATAAATGAGTGAATAAATAAATTTAAATAAATACATAAAAAATCAAAATAAAAAGGGTCATAACAATCATAAGAATGTATTCACCTAACAGTAGAGCTTCAAAATACATGAAGCACATTTAGGATTTTTATGACCTTTTGATGACTCAATTGGTAAATTGTACTTTATCAAAATTAGAAACTTTTGCTTCTTGAAAGACCCTGTGGGTCAGACAATTGATTTGGTGCTTAAAACAACTAGATTCCACATGGCAAACTGTGTGATTTGAGTCCCAGATCCCATAGCCTGAGAAACACACTGGGCATGTGTGTGTGCTCAAAATCCTGAAAGGAGGAAGAAATGAAGTAGAAGGGATTGTAGCTTGACCATCCCTCATGGACAGTGCTTTTTCACTTTCTCTGCCCACTCCCCAGCAAGTTCATAAGACCTTTGGCAAATTAAGAGAAAAAAAAGAAAAAGAAAAACAAGAAGAAGAAGAAATAAAGACCTTGTTATGAAAATGAAAAGGCAAGCCACAGAGAGAAAATATTTTTAAAATCTTTATCTGATAAAGGAGTTGTATCAGTCAGAAATTAATAACAAAAAAAAGTAAAAATACAGACAAAAGATTGAATATACTTAACCAAAAAGATGTATGAATGGCAAAGAAACATGTGAGAAGATGTTCAACAGGATTGGTCATTAGAGATATGCAAATTAAAGCCACAGTGAGATCATACCATGCATAAAAAACTGTTTAAAATTAAATGATCGACAATATCAAATTTGGGGACCAGCAGTTAGCATGATGGCTATGTCGCTGAACTCCCATGTAGTCGACCGCGGTGGCTAAAGCTCACGCTGGGCGCATGTGTGTGCGTGCCCAGGATCTCGAGAGGAAAATAGAGGATAAGGGATTGCGGCATGGCCATCCCCCCTGGGGGGTGATTTCTCGCTTTCTGTCTCTCTGTCTCTGTCTTTCTGGCAAGCGCACACGGCCTATAGCAAAAAACCTCTCAAAAAAAAAAAATTGGGCAAGGCTGTAGAAAAACTGGGATTCTCTCATACATTACAATACCACCACTTTAGAAAAAAAAATGATATTTGTTATAAAGTTAAACACATACTTAATAAACATTCAGCAATCTTACCATTAGAAATTTACCCCAAAGAAATTAAAATACAAAGATTTGGGGGTCAGCAGGTGGCATGGTAGCTAAGGTACTAGATTCCCACATGGCCCACTGTAGTTCAGAGCCCCAGACTTGGTGGCTTGAAAATAATGCTGGATGTATCCCATTTCTGGGTATCTAACCCAAAGGACAGGAGAATGCTCAGTCAGGAAAGCACTTGCACATCTATGTTTATTGCAGCATTATTCACTATCACTAAGACATGGAACCAACCCAAATGTCCACAAAAAGATGAATGGATGGAAAAAGTGTGACACATATACTCTATGGAATACTGCTCAGCTATAAAAAAACAAGACCCTGGCATTTGATAGAAAGTGGTCAAATACGGGGGACCAGCAGTTAGAGTAATGGCTATGTCGCTGGACTCCCACGTAGTCAACCATGGTTCAAGTCCCAGACCCGGTGGCTTAAACTCACATTGGGCGCATGTGCTTGCGTGCCCAAGATTCCAAGAGGAGAATGGAGGAGAAGGGGTTGCGGCGTGGCCATCCCCCCTGGGGGGTGACTTCTCGCTTTCTATCTCTCTGTCTCTCTCTGTCTGAATGTCTGACGAGTGCACGCGCCCTATAGCAAAAACCTCTTCAAAAAAAAAATAAAGAAAAGAAAGTGGTCAAATATGGAGGATCTATTGCTGAGTGAAGCTAGCCAGGATATGAAAGAAAGATATTGTATGAATTCACTTACTGTATACCAACTATCTGCATTTTATGGTAGAGATCGAAATATTGGAGGGCATAAAAGCAGTGAAAATAGTTATGAATGCTGAAGACAGTGTGGAATGGGGTAGGGGCAGGGGAAGAAGGAAAGAATATAGAGAAGGATAGCAAGAGAACAAATAGAGGCGTGACATTAGTTGGACACAGAAATGGTTTATTTTCTGTTGATGATAACACGTGTAGTATTCTCAACTGGACTGGTCTGAGAAGTATTTCATGTTGGATAAATTCTTTGTACAAGCCAAATGATACATAGGACTGAATGTTTAAAAACATGAGAATTGGGACCAGCAGATGGCATAAAGGCTATGTCACTGGACTTCCATGTAGTTGACTGCGGTTTGAGTCCCCGACCCAGTGGCCTAAACTCATGCCAGGCGCATGTGCATGCATGTCCAAGATCCCGAGAGGAGAATGGAAGATAAAGGATTTTGGCATGGCCATACCCTCTGAGGGGTGATTTCTCACTTTCTGTCTCTCTTTCTAATGAGCACACATGCCCTATAGCAAAAACCTCTCAAAAAAAAAAAAGAGCGAGAGAGAGAATAAATAATAAAATAATAAGCTGAAAAAATGATGAAAAGCTATCTGATGATGATGATGTGGATAGTAATGTCTTTGTCTTGACTGATATGCATGGTAATTGTGCTGGAAAAAGAAAAGTAATACACTGTAAAGATATATGTGATTCAATGTAATATAAAAAGATTATGATAATAATACATTTTAAAAATCACAGCATGGAGACTATGTTGGCGATCTCTACCCCAGCCCCCAACCTGTCATGAAAGAAATGGAAGAAATAATTAAAAATAAACTTAAAAAGGGAAAAAAAAAAACACAAAGAAAAAAGAAAAGAATGCTAGACGTGAGTGAGTACGTGTGTGCCTAAAATCCCAAGAGGAGAATAGAAGAGAAGAGATTATGGTGTGGCCATTACCCCTGGGGGTTGATTTCTTACGTTCTCTCCCTCTGTCTTTCTCTAGGAAGCACATGTGCCCTATGGCATATATCTGAAACAAACAAAACACACATACACAAAGATTTGTCAATAAATGTTTAGGTGACTTTATTCATAATAAAGTTTCCAAACTGGAAACTACCCAAATGTCCATCAGCTGGAAAATGAATAAGCAAATTGTGATATATCCGTAAAACATGATTATTGATATTAAACAAGATGAACCTCAAAAAACATTATGCTAAGTGGAAAAGAAAAACAGACACAAAAAACTACGTAATGTATGACTTCACTTACATGAAAATTTAGAAAAACACATCTAAAGTAAAATAAAGCAGATCAGTGCAAAGAAGGGATTGACTGCCATGGGTCATGTGGAAACTTCTTGGGGTGATAGAAATTTTCTGTATCTTGATTACCGAGATGTTTGCATACATGTATATATTTGTCAAAACTGGCAAATTTTACTCCATGTTAATTATACCTCAATATAGTTGATTTTTTTTCTATGTCAATTAGCTAAAAAAGGTTCAGTGTCAATTATGGGTATAGATTTAGAATTTTCATTAAACCAGTAACTACAAACAATAATAATGAGTCTGTCAGAATGCTCTCTTTCCTTCTATTTATGTCCTTCAGGAGTATTTTAACCTTTTCTTTTATTTTTTCTTTTCTTTTCTTTTCTTTCTTTATTTATTTATTTTGCCATAAGGCATGTGTGCTCACTGGGGACAGAAAGAGAGTGAGAGAGAGGGAATGTAAGAAAGCACCTTCCAGGGAGAATGGCCACCACACCACAACCCTTCCCCTCCATTCTTCTCTTGGGATTTTGGCCAAACACACATACACACCTGGCATGTTTTTCAAGCCACTAAATCCGGGGCTTGAATAGTGCTGTCAGCCACGTGGGATCTAGCCACCTTAACCTCCATGCCCTCTGCCAGACCAAGTGTACATGATTCTATAAAAACTTTATTTAGAATTTGGTTCCTTTTTAAAAAGTTTATTTCTTCCATGATTGAAAGAGAGACCACTCCAGACAGGATCTTGATACCATGATTTGCCCCCAGCCTCAGCCAGCCCCAGGTCACAGGTATGCACATGCCTAGCATACTCAGGGAGGTCTCTAGACATGAACCCAGAACGATCTCATGTGGGTCACCCTTGCGGAGAGTTATATTTACTGCTGCACCACTGTTCAGCCCCCTAGAATTTTATTTCTATGAAGATTTTTATTTAGAACTTTATTTAATATTATTGAAATACCATTTGTGTTCTCCTGATCAGCTCAGACCCTTGGTAAACGTGTGAACTCAAAAACTTAGTGTTCTGATTAAGCACATTTATTGAAATAATTCATTTTCTTTTGAAGCACTAAAGATCTCTAAACAATCTCCTAGGAGTTTATATTCTATGCTATGAACATTAGCACAAGAAGACCTGTAAAAACCCTGTGTCCACATAAAGAGTGTGTACAGAAACCTCCTTCTTTAGGAAAAGGAAGCCCCAGGGATTTATATGGCTGATTTATCAAGACAAGATAAACTTTCTGCTATTGTAGATAAAACAGTCAAACAGATCAAAGGCTGAGAAATAATTCTAATATATTCTTATAACCATCGTGGTACCAGAATAAATTCAGTCATATCAGCTAGCCTCCTTTTGACTAAGCTCTTTCTTCCTGCCCCAGCCTCCAAAGAACTAATAAGGGTCACAGAAGAGGTTCCACAGGGGAACCAGCAGTTAGCGTAATGGCTATGTCACTGGACGCCCACGTAGTCGACCGCGGTTCGCATCCCGGACCTGGTGGCTTAAAACTCACGCTGGGCGCGTGTGCGTGCGTGCCCAAGATCCCGAGAGGAGAATGGAGGAGAAGGGATTGCGGCGTGACCATCCCCCCTGGGGGGTGATTTCTCGCTTTCTGTCTCTATGTCTCTCTCTGTCTGTCTGTCTGGCGAGCGCACGCGCCCTATGGTGAAAAAATCTCTCTCAAAAAAAAAAAAAAAAAAAAAAGAAGAGGTCCCTCCGATGAAACATAGATTAGGAACCCCAGAAACCAGTAGTTACCACCCACTGATACCTGGAGACAGAGTGGAGTGCATTTCCTTCCATATCATGTACTGGATGGGACCTTTGAACTGGCCTGGGTTCAGCTTTTTGGAGATAAGCTCTCTGGGTGCCAGTGCATTTATTCCTTTCTCCAAACTGTAGGGAACATAAATTATTTATTCTTAGTTATCTTCCAAGAACTGAAGGAAGGATTTTAGAAGTACCATAGGGAAACACTTACCTATCCAAAAGAGCTGTGATGTCCTAGAGGGAGAAAAGAAAAATGGAGACATCAGATACTTGTTCATCAACTTCAGAAATTTCTCTGGTTGATAGTGGCCACCACCAAAATTTGATCACCAAAATTTGATCACTGGGGTCCTGCCCGTCTCCACAGACTCTTCTCATCCTCTATGTGCTTTTTTCTGACCTGCATGCCAGATCTAACCCAGGATAAACTGGCCTTAGTTTGCTCAGATTTGCTAGAGTTCCCTTTAATCAGGAAGAAAAGCCAGTAAGACAGTAATTAAAGTTAAGCCATTCTTAATCTATCTTCCAAATAGTCTCAAAAGAAAAAATACAGTGGATATTCCGGTCCCAAGGCCCTATTTTCTGACTCTGACTTATCAAACTTCTGTGTGCTGAGGCGGTAACCAATGCCACTTCAGAGGTGACGTTTCATTTGACAGCTTTTCAGACAGGTCAATGTGTGATTTCTGAGAATCAAAGAGACAACTCGGATCACGACATTCTTATTTATGAGAAATAAAGCTTCAAAATTCTTCACGTAAAAAAAAAAACCACATGATATTATTAATGCATTTTTATTATTTTGTTTCCTAGGAGGGTGAAAAGTAAACCTTGCTGAGCATAAAGCAAAAGTAACCTGCTTTTCTTCCAGAGAATCTTACAAGCACTATTGCAATTTCGTTTTGTATTTCCCCCTCTCCCTTGTGGTGAAAAGCCACTTCCAATCCTTCTCAACCCTCTTCCTCCCTGTAAGTGTTCCCATAATCACATCAGAATGGAGTCTCACTTTGAGGAAGTCGAAGGAGTTCTGCTGTTCCATCCGTGCCTGAATGCTCACCAACATTTCCTTGGCTAGGTAGCATTGCTCCTGAAGCTGGTTCAGATTCAGCTCCATCTCTTCATTCAGGATTTTCCCTTCTTCCCGGAGCTCATTTAAAAAGTCCTTTTCTTTGCTGTGCAGGAACTGATGTAGCTTCAGAAACTCCAAGGACACATGTTGCTGCAGATGTATCTTGTTTTCCTAGAAACCTCCATGACCAACCGTGGTTATTATCGAGACTAGCACTTGGGGAGGGGGTTCACACCAACGACACTCACACGATGGGAAATACCGTCACAGGAAAATGCATACAAATGGCTGCCGAGTATCAGCATCCATCCTACGACTAAAAGTAGATCTCCTGAAAGTAGCCCTTGGGGAGATGACATCTTCTTTCATAGCTAGTTTAATAGCTCAGGATGAAATGTCAAAAGTGGTCTCTAGGCCCCTGCTGTAGTATTATGGTAGTACCCAAGGCCATATTAAATAAGACTGTGGAGCTACTCAAACATTCTAAAGTGAATAATAATACCCTCCTGGGTGGGTAAATCAATATCTACCAAGTTGTGCTGTTAGACTGGGACCATAAGGAGAAGGAGGCTGGAAAAACTCCTTATCTAGGAATTAGAACTAGGGGAATGGCACTCCTGCTGCCTAGACTATATACAAGAAGCAGAAAATTGATCCCTTGCCGCTCTTTTCTTAGATGACCTGAGCATCCTCACAGGTGAGTGAGTCATCTGACATCCTGGTTTCTCAGTTCCTCATCCTCCTCCTCTCTAGTTAATTTCCACCTTTATCTACTCATTCCCATAGTAATATATAGGATCTTCTCTGGCAATTGTGCCATCTTCTAAACAACTTTTTATGTTCCAAGCTCCCTAACTCAGGTACCCCTATCGGAACAATTATGGGACCTCATTGAAAGCTCCTGTTTATTGACCTCTTCATTACTATTCGTCCATTTCTATCTTTATATCTTTATATTCCCTCTTATCTAGCTTGGATTTCATGGTCTACCATTATTATTGTACTTTTTTATTTTTTTATTTTTTTTTTTTTAGTTTCTACTATAGAGTGTGTGCACTCATGACAGAGAAAGAGAAATCACCCCTTCTGGGGGGATGACCACACCCCAGTCCCTTCTCCCCCATTCTTCCCTTGGGGTTTCACCAGGTCTGGGACTCAAACCACAGTCAGCCATGTGAGATCCAGCAGCCTTAACCTCCACACCACCTGCCAGTCCAATGTTATTGTACTCTTATAATAGTCTCTTTTAAAAATTTTAATTATTTAATTTTATTTAATACTACTATTTTTAAAATTTTGCTATAGGGCACATACACTCACCAGAGAGAACGAGGAGAAAAAACAAGCCACCAGGTCCAGGACTCAAATTGTGGTCGGCTATGTGGGAATCCAGTGCCTCAGCCACCACGCTACCTGCTGGCCAGACCCTTAAGATAGCCTTAACTCCCTTTCTCTTCTCATATTTTTCTGGTTTCCCTTTTATCTGTCTTATGTATTTCTCAGTGTTGTTTGTTGGCTCCACTTCTTCTAACTAACCTCTAAATATTAAAAGTACTTGCTATTCTGTCCTGGGTTCTTTTTCCTTCTCATTCTATGCTTTCTTTCTAGATAATATCCTTTCCTCTGCTTTAAATACCATCTATGTTGACTTCTTATCCCCAGCCTATACCAGTATCTGAGTTCTAAATTCCTCTATCCATCTGCCTGTTTGACATCTCCTCTCAACCCTCACATCTAATCAGTTACCATATCCAAATAATTTTTATCTCAAAGCATATTCTCAAGCTGTTTATTTCTCTGCATCTCTGCTGCCTTTCTAGTCCAAGTCACCATCATTATTCTCTGGGGCCACTGCAGTAGCCTTCTAATCATTGTCCATAAAGCTACCAGAGTGATATTTTCAAAACCCACTAATAACCTCTCATTATGCAGAGGGTTAGGTTCAAAACTCTTAACATGTGCACAGGGTCTACATGACTGGGCCCATATCTGCCAATAACATTTTCTCTGTGAACTTTTCCATATGCTTTTTCCTCTTTGTAGAACATTCTTCCCCAGGCCATCTCCTTCATATTCCCCTCATCTGGTTCACTTGGCTAAGTTACTTATTCTTCAGTTCTCATTTTTTATTAAGCGACTCGGAACTCACCCATCTTCCAGACTAGATTAGTTTCTCTGTTTATTTGCTTTCATGATACCCTATATTTTTATTTAAAGTACTTATCACAGTGGTTATTTTATTGTTACTGATGGCTTATTTAACTCACATTTGACTTCCTCCCCCAGAATGTAGTGTAACACCTGACCCAGTCAATAAATATTTGTCGAGTGAATGAATGTTGACTCTAATAGGTGAGCTAAGAACTCTTACAGAAGGTTTAAGATTCTCTGTAGACATTATTACTTCCATCTATCCTTCTTCTTTTCCTGAATCTACATATTTCTTCTTCCAGATGTCAAATGCCAGAGAAGGCTCTCCTCCATAGAATAATTAATGAAGAAATAGAACACCCAATTTAGGTCCCCCAACCTAGGAAGAGATTTGCCAAATCTCTAACCATCTATATCATCCCAGAGCTCCTGTAAAGTTGAAAGTATAAGCAGTAGCTTTATTTAGTTTAGGAGCAGCTGAGAAAGATCAAATCAGACGGGACAGCCAGCAATCTGAGAGACATTGGGCCAGAAGTGCCTAGTTATAAGTCCAAAAGAAACAGAAGTATTTCTTTGCATATAGGAATCATTAGTGATTTTTCTGGTAAATTCTATATTTTACCATAAAGGGAAAGACCAGACAGATCTCAATGACACATCAATTACCTCATGATTGAACTATGGAAAGGATTAACATATTAAAAGAAAAGTCAGGGCCAGCTTTCTCAGCTTGAGTGTAGTGCACCGAGGGCCAGATCCCACATGGCAGACTGTAGTTCAAATCCTGGCCTGGTGGCTTTGAAATATGCCAAGCATGTGTGTGTGCATCCCCAAATTCTGACAGGATAGAGAAATGGAGGAAAAAGGATTGCAGAGTGACCATGTCCCATTGGGGTTTGCTTTAGCTCTCTCTCTCTCTCTCTCTCTCTCTCTCTCTCTGGTAAGTGCACATGCCCTCTGGCAGAAAGAAAAGAAAGAAAAAGAAAGAGGGTAGAAAGAAAGGAGGAAAGAAGAGAAAAGTCAATCTAGTCTGTTGATCAACTATTGGGATCCTATTCCACCACTATATTCCTTCTTCCCTGCCTACAATTGTCAGTCTTTAAATTCCATAACCTAGGTGCCATTCAGTGTATTGATAATATATGCATAGGGATCTATATGCCCACCTAGCTGAAGTTACAGGGAGGGTGTATGCCAGTCCTACTTTATAATCCCTAGACCCTGCACCTCACCTTGTAAGCAGCAATAGCATCTTTCTGCATGTTCTTCAGGGACTGTAGCTCCTTCAGGGTTACCTCCAGTTGACTCTGACGGATGGCAAGTTCCTCCTGGGAATACCAAACAGAAGTAATCCACACCAACCTGGGAGATGACAGGCCATAAAGAATATTTCCCCTAAAGCCCCAGTGCCAGAAAAATTTTAAAAATAAAATAAAAGCAAGTTGTTGCTGCAAAAAATCTTTCCGTTTCCCTGTATCATAGTTCCTATTTTTTAATAATTGCAAAGAAAATTATAAACAGCAAAAAGACTTAGTTTTGCCCTCTTTTTAGCTAGCTACAGGGGTTTGAAGAAGGTAATGGAACACTGTGTGTTTTCCACCTTGGTTACACTATTCTCACCACCTGTATTTTTAATTATATTATCTCTCTTGGAGCACCCATTTTTTTCTGCTCATTCAAATCCAAGTGATTTCCCAGTTCAGGTCCTATCCTGTTCTTTTACTATACACCCCTTGGCTTTTTTCACCTTTCTTTAATTGTCTCACAGGTTCTAAACATGTATGCATTTAGAAGTGTAATACATATTATTAATGTAATATATTTAACGCTCAATAGTAGACTTTCTTATATTGTTTTTATTGGTTTATTTTATTTTTTATTTACTTTTTAATTTTCTTTTCTTTCATACACTCAATCACATTATTTAGCTTATAAACTGAATATTTCAACATATGAACATTTCTTCCTAGTCTAGTTGATAAAACTATAAAATATCTTCAACAGATAATACCACATTTCTTTGTCCCATTAATTCTTTCCCTCTCTATTTTTCTTCTAAATATCCTTCCTCAGACCCTACTCTTTCACATACACTATATCTGGTATTTACATCCATTTACTGTGTTTCTATATCCTTTAGTCAATCAGTTTCAGTCACAGAGTGTGGACACTTGGTATATGTTAAGTGGGGACATACAATGTCTCTCCTTCATAGCCTGACTTGCTCCACTTTCTGTCAAAAGTCAGGTTTTTTTTTTTTATTTAACTTGACAAAATTTCAAATTTTCATAACAAGAATAATATCTTATATATTCATAATTCCACACAATATTTTGTGGCATGCTATCATGGCAGAGCTTAGGTAAATATCTGGTTGTAAGAATAAGCTACAGCTCCTCTGTTTCTCTCCCATAAGCAGCAACTTTAGAGAAAGAACTTTGCAAGATATGATGTATTTTCTGAGCACTCTGAGCTTTCTAACTGTCATTTGAATAAAGGGGTGGAGTTGGAAGAGAAAAGAAGCCCTCCAAAAGATTTGTCCCAGTTTTCCTAAGGGATTGCTTAAGACTCGGGGCTCACCTACCGTAAAGAAATGAACAGCATCAGAGATTTTCAGGAACTCCTTAGACTGCTCCACAGACAACCGAGCATCCTTGCATTGAAAGCAGACCAGTTTCCCATCTGGCTTGCTGAACAGTTTCAGGTTTTCACCGTGCTCTGGGCACTGTGGCTGGCCCTTGAGTAGGGGTAGCTTCTTAATCTTCTCTACCAGCTTCTCCAGTACAAGGTTGAATGTACAGTTGCTATATTGACATATCATTTTACACTCAGGACAGAATGTTTCCTTTGCATGCAGCTTCCAGAAGCTTTGAATACAGGCTTGGCAGAAATTGTGGCCACAGCCTAGCATCAGTGGATCACGAAACCAATCATTACACAGTGGGCAGTGTAACTCCATAGTAATATCTTGTATCACCACTTTAGAGGGTATGTGAGTGGGCGAATCATTTACTTCAACATAGTTTCCTGGACTGATGTCAGAAGAGGGGGTGGGGGATACCTTTAGAAAAGAATAGCCAAAATGAGTTCCTTTTTTTTTTTTTTTTGGAGAGGTTTTCGCTATAGGTCGCATGCGCTCGCCAGACAGACAGAGAGAGACATAGAGACAGAAAGCAAGAAATCATGCCCCAGGGGGGTGGTCACGCCGCAATCCCTTCTCCTCCATTCTCCTCTCGGGCTCTTGGGCACGCACACACACGCGCCCGGCATGAGTTTTAAGCCACCGGGTCCCGGATGCGAACCGTGGTCGACTACGTGGGAGTCCAGCAACATAGCCATTACGCTAACTGCTGGTTCCCATGAGTGACTATTTTGTTGCCCATCTCAGCATTCCAGGATGGTGGGCTCCATCCCTGAAGGAGCTGAATGTGTTGCATCTAGAGTAAAAGTACTATAATCTCTCCTTTGGAAGTGATCCAGCAAATTCAGTGTTTTATAAAGTCATGGTTTATGACACTATTTAAGCTTTAAAAGAGAACCAAGGTAAAGAGTTAACCAGAGAAATGTATTTTGTTGCACATGTCTCTCTCCACCCATTTCTCACATATATCAACTTCTCTTTTACTAGTTATTGCCCTTACTTTTGTTTGATATAAATTAATTTAAAAAAGAATTAGAAGATAAATCAGATTTCTCAGTCAGTGGCATAATATCAATAGTCCCTCCCTCACTTTTTTTTTTGACAAAACACATATTACAAAAATATACAGAACAATTCAGATTCTAAGTGTGTAGCACATTGACTTCACAAAATGAACACCTCTTTGTAATCATTGTATTGATCAAAAAACAGAACATTACCAACATCTTAGAAGTTCCCAAATGTCTGCCTCAAGTCACCTAAGCAAAATTGACCTCTATCCTGACTTCTTTCTTTTTTTTTTTTTTTTTTGGAGAGGTTTTTGCTATAGGGCACATATGCTCCCCAGAAAGACAGAGAGTGACAGAGAGACAGAAGCAAGCGCAGAAGCCCTAAAGCAAAAATCTCTATTTAAAAAAAATAAATCAGGGGCCAGGAGGTGGTATGGTGGTTAAGGATGCTGGACTCCCACATGGCTGACCGTGGTTCTAGTCCCAGACCTGGCAGCTTGCTTTCTCACTTTCTCTCTCTCTCTCCTCCTCTCTGGGCCAATTTAATTAATTAACTAATTAATTAATTAAGTTAAATAAAATACTTCTTTGGGGAAAAAAAGATTTCCAGGAGGTGGAGGAGCTTGGCACAGAATGGACATAGCACAGTCATAAAAGAACAGAATCTAGGAAGCTAATTTTTTTTTTTTTTTGGAGAGATTTTCACTATAGGGCGCGTGTGCTCGCCAGACAGACAGAGAGAGACATTAGAGACAGAAAGCGAGAAATCACCCCCCAGGGGGGATGGTCACGCCGCAATCCCTTCTCCTCCATTCTCCTCTCGGGATCTTGGGCACGCACGCACACGCGCCCGGCGTGAGTTTTAAGCCACCCGGTCCGGGACGCGAACCGCGGTCGACTACGTGGGAGTCCAGCGACATAGCCATTACGCTAACTGCTGGTTCCCTAGGAAGCTAATTTTTAAACCAAAGGCAGAAAGTGCAGAGATGCTAGGTGGACAGTCAGTAACTTGGTAGAAACAAGAATTATAGAGAAAAACAAATGTGGTGAGTGGCTGTCTTACTAACCATAGCACTGCTCTTTAGCTCTTTGTGGGTTCCTATACCTGGCATGATGCCTTACCACAGAAGCTCAACAAATGTGTAGAAGGAATGAATATTTACCCTCACAGTAAGTGAGGTTACCTCTTTGCTTTAGGTAATTTGAATCTCTGCTCTTAAAATGGACTTTCTACCCCACCACTCTATTGAAATTTTTTCTTTCCTGATGTGATATAATACAAAAAGACGAGAGGAAAAGCTAGAACCTTTCATGAATTTGATTCTGGAAACAAAGAGGAAATCAGAAAATTGATGGTAGTAAAATGACGGTTTGGTAGAGTGTACTAAACACTCATTTTAATGACACTCTTCATCTTCCTCTTCCTTTATGTATTTTATCTGTCCTTTCATCCCCGTGATGCAGTAGAGCCCTAGTTCTGCTTCTGACCACTCCTCTGCATTGGCTGGTTTCGCTTCCTCTTCTCATTCTTTTAAGTGTAAACTATCACCACGGTCGTCTTCAACTCTCTTTATATTCTTCTTCCCAGTAACCCATTTATTTGATAACTTCATATACAGCCTCTAAAGTGCTGATTCCCAAATCTGTACCCCGTGCCCATGATTGGGCTCTTGAAAATCAACAAGACGGAAATGAATTCATTGTTGCTATAAACCAGTTCCTCTTTTGACTTCCCTGTTTCTGCCTACTGCACCATCCATCTCCCAGTTCTGAATCTGGGGTTATCTTTAGATAGTTTATTTTCTCCATCTTTCTCTATCATCTTATCAGTTGCAAAATCTAGTAGTAATGATAATAATTGCTAACTCCCCTCTGCCTGAAAAATCTGTTGCTTTTTATAGCCTACCAAACTAAATTCTGTGTGCGTGTGTTTTTTTTAAGGGCCCTAGAATCAGAATTTTCTACAACAGTCAAAAAATTCATATTTCTGGTCTCGTTTCCCATGAAACTCTTATATAATGAAAACTTTTAAGTTACAATTCTTTTACATATTAGTAATTCATTTGTTTCATTAACTAAAAGGTGAAAAATATTTTAAAAGATCACTTCATTTTTTTGTACCAGTCTTAGGGGACAGTTCTGTGAAGTGAAGAGAAAAGTACTCTGTTTATTCCCCACCCTCTCAATACGTGCCATGAGACTAACGCCAGAAAACCATGCCCTCCAGGCAATATGCAAGTACAAAAAAAAAAAAAATCTACATTGTAAGTCAGTCAGAGCTATCTTAAAAACTTTCAGGGCAGGATGCATTCCGAATAAGATGAAACTAATGGGAGAACTTGGCCAGTTGGAAGTGATCTAAGAGAAAGGGTACCTACAGGAACCGGTTTATAATCCTGGTAAATACAGTGTCTTGAAGGTAGATGTCACTTAGAAATTTTATTCAATGTGTTTTTAAAATATATTTAAAGACGATAGTAATGAATAATAGAGGTAATAGATAATGGGATTTCACTTTGGGGTGATGAAAATGTTCTGGAATTATTGGATTGTCAGAAAAGTCATGATGTAGTTTTCTCTGTTTTTCTATGTAAAAATGTGCCATGACTTTTCCAACAACACAATAGATAGTGTGATGGTTATATAGCTTTGTGAATATGCTTAGTGACTTTATACTTTAAAAAGATGATTTGGGACCAACAGTTAGCATAATGGCTATGTCGCTGGACTCCCATGTAGTTGACCGCGGTTCAAGTCCTGGACCCGGCGGCTTCAACTCACGCCGGGGCGTGTGTGTGAGAGCGTGCCCAAGATCCCGAGAGGAGAAGGGAGGAGGAGGGATTGCAGTGTGGCCATCCCCCCTGGGGGGAGGGTGATTTCTCGCTTTTTGTCTCTCTGTCTCTTTTTGTCTTTCTGGCAAGCGCACGCACCCTATAGCAAAAACCTCTCCAAAACAAGAAAAAAAATGGATGACTTTTATGTATATTTAATGTTACTTATTTATACTATGTAGTTGATTTTTTATGATTAATTAATCTTGTTAATTAAGGTTTTGCCAGTTATCCTAACTTTCAAGAATGTATCCTCTGCTATAAAACAAAGGATTAATCATATTAGCTAATATTCATTGAGCATTCATTGTGCAAAATGGTTTACACACGTTATTTTATGTAATCCTCATAACATCCCTATGAGATAGCAACTATTACTTCATTTTCAAGGAAAATGAAACTTAGAAAGGGTGATGTTTTCCTTTTTCTAAGGTTTTTGGCAAAGGGAGCATACGCTCACTAAAGAGAGAAAAAAAGAGAGTGAAAGGGAAAGTGAGAAATCACCCTGTGGGAGATGACTACACTGCAATCCCTTTTCCTCCATTTTCCTCTTTGGATTTTGGGCACACAGGCACACACTCTGGCATACATTTCAAGCTGCCGGGTCTGGGACTAGAACAGTGAACAGCCATGTGGACGTCCAATGACATAACCATTATGCCATCTGCTGGTCCCGAGAAACTCACAGTTTTTTAAACTATTATGTAAAGTGTCTATTTTTTCTGACTCGGCCTTAAAGAAATGAGTATAATAGGTATAGGCAGTAGTGTTCATTTTTTCCTTTAGAAATTATAAACAAAATACATGCATTCTGGTTTGTCTCAACAGATAAAGACAGAGAAGAAAGTAGGAGCAAATCTAAAGCTCCGATGATAGAGGAAATTAGAACCTGATCTTTTCTTTCTTTCTTTTCTTTTTTTTTTTTTTTTTTGCTATAGGGCCCATGTGCTTGCCAGAAAGACAGAGTCAGAGAGACAGAAAGCGAGAAATCACCCACCAGGGGGGTGGCCATGCTGCAATCCCTTCTCTTCCATTCTCCTCTTGGGATCTTGGGCACGCACGCACACGCACCCCGTGTGAGTTTAAGCCACCGGGTCCGGGACTCGAACTGCGGTTCACTACATGGGATTTCAGTGACATAGCCATTACACTAACTGCTGGTGCCAGAACCTGATCTTAATGATTAATATACTGAAATTAAGCCTTATAAGAAGTAGAAACCGGTGGAAATTATGTTAACTCAGAATCTAAGATTTCATGTATCAAAATTTCTTGTAGATGAATTTTAGCAAGTTTTTCCACTTTCTTTTGGTTAATAAACATTTTGTCTATCTGATGGCCAAGAAAACACTAAGTTCAGAAGGCTAACTTACTTTATCTTAGCTCTGAAGAGATCTTAAAGGGAAGAATTCAAATAAGTGAGAATCAACGATTTTAAATATAAAATGTCAAATGTGATGGTAAAATGAGCAAACCAAGTTACATATAATAATCTTGAAATCTAGAACTAATAAAGGATTACATTAGTAAGAAAGGTACATTTTACTATTGCATTTAATTTAATTTTTCTCAAAATGTTGTGGTAGATGGAGTTCATAACTTTCCTACCAGCCTCTCTAATCTATGTTATTCAAGGCCTAGAGAGCACCAAAGCTACAAACTATCACGAGTTAAATATTTTCCTGCATTTACTCTTATACTTTAAACTTCTTTTTTTTTTTTCTTGAGAGATTTTTTCGCTATAGGGCACGTGCGCTCGCCAGACAGACAGAGAGAGACATAGAGACAGAAAGCGAGAAATCACCCCCCAGGGAGGATGGTCACGCCGCAATCCCTTCTCCTCCATTCTCCTCTCGGGATTTTGGGCACGCACGCACATGCGCCCGGCGTGAGTTTTAAGCCACCGGGTCCGGGACGCGAACCGTGGTCGACTACGTGGGAGTCCAGCGACATAGCCATTACGCTAACTCCTAGTTCCCAAAATTCACACTTCTGTAATCCTGTTTTCTACGCTGTGCCTGGAAAACCTGCGAAATTACAGAAGGATAACTTACCTCCATGAAGCTCAGTCATCAGGCCACCACAGGGCAGAGGCAGACACTTGGATCAGAGCTCAGCTGGCCCAGGATGGCTACAGACCAGAAGCTGGGGACCTGGCAGTTTGCTAGGAATGGACTTGAACATGACAGAAGGAGGAAAACTTCAGGGACCAGAGAGAAGGGGTAAGGCCAGAGTGAGGTCTGGCAGATTCCGTGACAGTTTGTCAGTTGCTTTGACCATCATTTGCTTAAGAGAAAAAGAAAGCCTGATTGGAATGACTTATCTGCCTACCCTTTTTCTTTTTGGAGGGCATAAGAGGGCAGTCCACTTAGATTCAAGGCAGTAATCTAATCTTAAGGTTCACAGGACCCCCTTTCTGCTAGGCTGCTCTGTGAAAGAGGAAATAAACATTATCATCAGTCTGTAAGCCTAAGGATACGACATAACTACCTCACCTCTGCTCATAATCCCATCACAGCATCAGGCATCAGCTGAGTGACTTTAATATTTTGTCTCTCACAGTCCATTGAAACGGCCCTGACACTATCTCTGAATAAGTAACAAAGGCCTGGAAAACCCCAATCCCTAAGGAAGCCTTATTTCATACAGCTTTTATCAACAGTTTTAGCTCACAGAGATAAGCGCCTATACTGTGCTTCTGAGTGACCCATCAAGGCTGTCACCCAGCCAGTTTTCCTTGCAGTAATTCTTCTAACTCATATTTTCTTGAATGTCTAGCTGCTGTCTAGCTCTCAATGCCCACAATTCTTTTTTAAAAATTTTTTTTAAAAAATGATTTATTCAATTTTAATTATTATTATTATTAAATTTACTATAGCACACACATACTCACCAGAGAGGAGAGAGAAAGTGAGAAAGATAGCTGCCAGGTCCAAGACTCGAACCACAGTTGGCCACGTGGGAGTCCTGTGCCTCAACCACCATACCACCTGCTGGCCCCAATGCCCACAATTCTTTTTATGGAGAGATTTTTGCTATAGGGTGCTTGTGCTCACCAGAGAGACAGAGAGACAGAGAGGCAGAGAGAAAGTGAGAAATCACCCCCCAGGAGAGATGGCCACACCACAATTCTTTCTTCTCCATTCTCCTCTTTGGCTTTTGGGCACATACGTACACGTGCTCACCGTGAGTTTCAAGACACCAGGTCCAGGTCTTGAACTGTTAACCACTACACCACTTACTGGCCCTTTAATGTCCACAGTTCTTCCCCCTGTGTTTGGGATTACCTAAATATGCAATGCCTTTATGACTTTCCATATGTCCCTTCTTCTAGGGGTCTGCCCTTCCCATGCTCCAGTCATTATCTCTTCACCAAAATCTTCCCAACCCTCCCCCCAAGCCTTATCCACTCCACATCCCTTGGAGAAAATATTTTGCTGGCTTTATTCCAGAGTTTCCCAACATCACCCCGTTGACATTTTGGGACAGCCAAGTCTTTGTTGTTGGAAGCTCTCTTGTGAATTTTAAGATGTTTACCTCTGGCCTCCATACACTAGATGCCAATAACACTTGACTGGTCAGGACAAAAATGTCTCTAGACATTTTCAAATGTCTGCTGGGGGCAGGAGTTGAGAGTTACACCCTAGTTGAGAACCAGTGTTTGATGCATGTCTATAGCACCCTAGATTGTCATATAGACTTCTATAGTATTTCAGAATAACAGGATGTATTTCAGTTGTCCAGTTGCATGTCTTCCCTTCCAGGAAAGCTGTGAGCAATGGCAGGGGCAGTGCTGTATCTTGCTCACCTTGATAGTACATGGCACTTGTTGGATAAAATTCCTTGTCAAATAAATGGCTATGAAATGCTGTTGATCACCCAGAAACTGTAAGTCCAAATATTTAATTTTATCTTGAGTATTTTTGTTATTGGCTAAACATCTAGCATTCATTTGGTGTAGGTCATTGTGCCATATCTTGGAGTCTGCACATTATCAAGCTTTTATCTCAGAGGTGAGGCTGTGGACCTGGAAGATAGATGTCTTGTTTCTCACCTGGACCTGGTGTCTTGAAATTCACGCTGGGCACGTGTATGTATGTGCCCAAAAGCCAAAGAGGAGAATGGAGAAGAAAGAATTGTGGTGTGGCCATCTCTCCTGGGGGGTGATTTCTCACTTTTTCTTTGTCTCTCTGGTGAGCACAAGCACCCTATAGCAAAAATCTCTCCATAAAAAGAATTGTGGGCATTGGGGCCAGTAGGCGGCATGGTGGCTGTGGCACAGGACTCCCACGTGGCCAACTATGGTTTGAGTCTTGGACCTGGAGCTATCTTTCTCACTTTCTCTCCCCCTCTCTCTCTGTCTCTATCTCTCTCTGGTGAGTGTGTGTGCCCTATAGTAAATTTAACCCTGAGAAATCTTTGCTAAGACATTTAGGTCTTTTGGGTATCAGTTCCTCCATCTTTAAAATGTGAATTCTGAAGACCTCCCCTTACATCTCTAGAGGTCTCTGATTCCAAATTCTATATAGTAAGAGGTTCTAATCTTCATAAAGTAGTATCTCAAGTCTATTTCACGGTGTCTGGAAGAGAGCTATTGCTTAATGTATAGCAGGTACCATTATTAACCTTCTTGCTTTAGTTTTTAAGAGAGACACTATAAATCATGCTTCCACTAAAATAAACTCTTGATCCCCACCAAGGGTGTATGTTCCTAGTCTCTGTTAAGTTTTTCTTCCTGATAAGCTGGGTTACATAATGAAGAAACAGAAGTTACTGTCTCCTGTTAAATTGAATTGAATTGGTGTCAATCAGCCTCTGTACCTGGGTGATAAGATTTTGCCCAAAGCCATTAGTAAACACAGTACTGCAACAGAGCCTGATGGAAATTGTAACCTAACCTAAAAGTGAACTCTAGTTACCTACCAACCTCAGCTTCAGCCAGTCATAGGAGCTGAGCTTCAGCCAACCACAGGCTTTGCCAACTGGTTTGCCAACTGGTTTGCCACATGGTTTGCCAACTGCTCAGACCATGTCTGTATGAGGAGATGTTAACTGCAGCCAGTCAAGGGTAGTTTTGTAGGCCACTTCTTTGCCTCGGGCTGTAGCCCAGACATGTGGTGGGTATGAGCATTCTGAACCAATTTCAGTCATGAACTGGTGTGTGGGTTCAGAACCTATTTCTTTCTCAAATAAACTCTGTTAAATTTAACAGTTTTGGGATCAGCAGGTGGCATAGCAGTTATGTTGTTAGACTCCAACATGACCAACTGTGGTTCAAGTCCCAGACCTGGTAGCTTGAAAATCAGGCTAAGATCCTGGGAGAACGGAGGTGAAGGGGTTGTGGCGTGGCCATTCCCCCTGGGGGACGACTTCTCACTTTCCCTCTTACCGTGTCTGTCTGTCTGTCTCTCTCCCTCCTGTGAGCACACACACTGTATGGCAAAAAAATAAAAAATTTTAAAAAAGTAACAGTCTCAGACATTTTCTTTTAACATCTGAATTAAATCTATGGTGATAGTAATCAGAACAGTGGTTGCATCTGGGGATGAAGATTGTCTAGAAGAGTGCATAGGGAATTTTCTGGGGTGATGGACTTGTATATTTTGATTGGGATTTTGGTCCCAATTTAACAGTGTTGGGATCAGCAGATGGCATAGCAGTTATGTTGTTAGACTCCAACATGACCAACTGTGGTTCAAGTCCCAGACCTGGTAGCTTGAAAATCAAGCTAAGATCCTGGGAGGAGAACGGAGGTGAAGGGGTGTATTTGTATAAATGGATGTATTTGTCCAAACCCATCTAATTATACTCTTAAAACCAGTATGTTTCGGGAACCAGCAGTTAGTGTAATGGCTATGTTGCTGGACTCCCACGTAGTCGACCACGGTTCGCGTCCTGGACCTGGTGGCTTAAAACTCACACCGGGCACGTGTGCGTGTGTGCCCAAGATCCCGAGAGGAGAATGGAGGAGAAGGGATTGCAGCATGACCATCCCCCTTGGGGGGTGATTTCTCGCTTTCTGTCTCTATGTCTCTCTCTGTCTGGCGAGCACACGTGCCCTATAGTGAGAAAAAAAAAAAAACTCTAAAAAAAAAAACGGTATGCTTCACTGTTTGTAAAATTTATCTCAACTTTAATTAGTTAACTTAATTTTCATTGTCAGAGAGCACATGCACTCACCAGAGAGAGAGAAAATCAGTGGGGAGGAGAGGGAGCACTCGCCCACACACTGGAGCATAGGCACGCCACGATCCTTTCTCTTCCCTTTCTCCATCCTGTCAGGATTTGGGACACATACCCACATGTGCCTCATATATATTTCAAGCCTCTGAGACCAGGATTTGAACCATTGTCAGCCATAGGGGATCTGGTTCCTTTAATCAGTTGGCCATGGAGAGTGCCTTACCTCAATTTTTTTTTTAAACTCAGAATTTCCTTTATATTTTTCCCCTAAAGCATAGATCAAAAACTTGTATGCCTATAGGAGCCTGAACTAGATAGAATCAAGAGGGAGGGTGAAGGGCTGCCCGCAAACTGGAGTGAGTACACTCTTTATCAGGATCACATGGGCAGTATACAAAAGCAGAGCCTGTCTTCAATAGGCACCTCAGGTGTGCATGCAGTCATCGAGCTTGTGACGGTCTGCTATATAACATAGCAATTACCAGTCCCCAAGCCAGATACCACAATGATCTACTGAAATACAGGAAGATGAGATTTAAAACGTTTTTCCTCTCATCTCTACCTTCTTTTTCTTCTTCATTCCATTTGGGAACACAAACAGAAACCCATTGAAGAGTGTGTACCCATTTATTCTGTATATCCTGTACCAAGTAAAGCAGCCGAGGTCAAGGATGTGGGCAACATACCAAAGAATGCCATGGGTAGACAGACGTGATGCAGGGATGGGCGCTGCTCCATCGGCACAACCGCGCCTCCATGGGGAGATAACAGCGTTGCTACCTCCGCTATAAGGAAGGAGCAGGCTTTACAGGACCTTTCACTCTTAGGGAAAAGGGAGGGAGCCCTGCTCCCATTAAAGTGCAGGCTACATTGTGAGTGCTCTGTCAGTCTCTGCAAAAGAAAAAGGAGCTAGGAGGGTGAAGTGTGTGTGTTGCGGGGAGGAGGGGATGGTTCCCAAGGCCTGCGACACAACCAGGCTGTTGTTTCTTCACCAGGAAGCATGCAGACTTATTAACTTATTAATTAGCTAACCAGTGTGCTGGAAGGCAAGTACATCTGTAAAGCCAGAGTGAAGACAGCCGCTCTCTGGCCTAGTAGGTCAGAGCACATAGAACCACAATTCTAGGTTGCAGTGTTCCTAGACAACTCCACAGGCTGGCCTCTGGCCACTAGGAGTCCCCGTAGAGCATGGTGCCTGCCTGATTAACTCCCACCACCACCACCACACAGCCTTCACCCTGCTGATTGGCGAGGTGGTCAAAAAGAATTGACTTCCTGCCACATCAATGGAATCAAAATCCAGAGAAACCCAGAGTCAGTACCCTCCCTGGTTTGTTCATTAAGACGAAGGTTCCATTGCTCTAAATGAGACCCAATGTAATTGTTTTGTTTTGTCTTGTTTTATTTTAAGAGAGATGTTTTGCTATAAGGCACATGTGCTCTCTGGAGAGACAGGGAGACAGAAAGTGAGAAATCACCCCCCAGGGGGATGGCCATGCTGCAATCCCTTCTCCATTCTCCTCCTGGGATCTTGGGCACACAAGCACACGTTCCCAGTGTGAGTTTTAAGCCACCAAATCAGGGACTCAGACTGCAGTTGACTAGTGGGAGTCCAGCAACCTAACCATTATGCCATCTGCTGGTTAATCTTATGTGTCAGCTTGACCAATACATTCCAGATAATGATTGCTTAAGCAAGAATGGAATTTATTTTCCCAAGTCAAAGTCCAAACTTGACCAGTGACTCTGGTTTACAAAGTTATCAGACCCTAAGCTCCTCTGTCTACTTGCTCCACCATCTCTAGGGCGTTGCCCTTATCTACATGGTCTGCAATGCCCACACGTGGCCAAACGTGGATGACTATGGGAAAGGAAGGAAAGCTTGCTTTGAGGACAACCACCGGGGGGGGGGGGGGCCCCGCGGGGAAACCCAACCTCGGCCCAC